GGCGGGATCAATTCTTGCGAGGCAAGACCATTCCCTTGGTAAAAGGTTTGTGAAAACATCACGGAGTGGAGGAAGCCACTTGGGAACGTGAGAAATATCCGGACTTGCTTGTTGATATGTAATCATGTATTGAAAATCTGTAATATTATTGAACTTTAAGAGCATTATATATATCTTAAGTTGTAAAACATTGTGAATGTTTTGGTTTATGGAAGTTTGTTTTAACATTGTGTATGTTAAGTATATTGTGGAAATGCAAGCATGATATGAATGTTGCATGTGTTATGGAATTGTGGAAAATGTGATGAAATTGTCAAATTTCGAAGTAATGCATGTTGATAATGCAGGTTGTCATATAATGTGAAATGCCTCTTGAAAAGAGATAGGATTGACTGGTAATGGGTCGGATTGTTTAATATTATGCTATAATATTGTTGAGAATGGAGAAAACTTGTCTTTTGAAAACTTCTGGTTAATTTCGGGGACGAAATTCTTTAAGGGGGGAAGGTTATAGCGATCTCGGTATTCCCTTGCTGTATTTGTCGTATTCCGGACTCGGTTCCGTCGAATTGGTAGTTGTACAAAGATTCTTGCATTAACAGTTATGATCCTTCCACTATACTGGTATCTTTTCCCTCATTGAACATAATATTTTTTATCAGCAATTAAGAGAGTTTATCATGAGAAGATAACCTGTTATGTTTAAACTTATTGATGTTTCCTTTTGGTCACCCAATAACCGCATTGCTTTAGAAATGTCCATGGAGTGATTTAATGCTTTAGTGCCATGCTTTTGTAAACATTTTGATGTCTCCTTCTCATATGCGGCATGGTTTGTGAAAGCCAATATTGCCATAAAAAACGTCATAGTAGCATGAACATAGGCTTGTACGGCAACTTGAGGTTCTTGTTGTTGCTACTAATTATTATGCAAAAAGCTTAAGCTATTAGTCCTTTAATTCCATTTGTTTGAGTTTTAGGATGTGTTGGGCATGTTTCGAGCAGGTGGGTTGAACCTTGGTCTAAAATCTTGTTGCCAGGTTTTTGGTCGTTCCGTTCAAGCGGGCCTTCTTGCGCTCCAGCGGAGATTGCACACTCCCAGTATTTCGTGTCCCTGCAAAACTTCTGCAGGTGCGATTTTTACGCTCGAGCGGATTTCCTGCGCTCGAGCGGGTCGCGCTTGAGCAGGCTTGTTGGCGCTCGAGCGGTTAGTACTGTCTTGGTGAAAGTTCTGGGAGGGGGAAACTTGCGCTCGAGCGGACTGGTTTTTCACGCTCGAGCGGATGTACTTTATTCTTGTGTCTTGGCGCTCAAGCGGGCCTTCTTGCGCTCGAGCGGACTTAGTTTTTTGTTCTTGACGCTCGAGCGTTGTGTTTTCCGCTCGAGCGAGAGTGTCGTATATTAGAAGGCAGTCAGGCATTTTTGAATCACTTTTTACATTCACTCTCTCTCTCTCTTACTTTCTAAAAAGATATTTTAAGAGCTCCTTTCTCTAGAAACTCCCTTCTCTCTAGGGTTTGATCTAGTTAGAGTGCTTCCCTTCCCATTGGCCTTTGTAAAAGTTGTGTTGATCATCGAGGGCTTCGAGTTGATCCAAAAAGTTTAGAGATTGGAGCATTTTCAGTTTCTTCTTCTTCTCCATTTGGGCTTCGAGTTTGAGATAGGGATACCCTACTCCTCTTTATGAGCTTTGTCTTTGAATTGTGGCATTTTGATATGTTGGGGGTCGTTGGGTAATTTTGAGAAAGTTTGGGTCTTTGCGTAATTTTACAAAAGATGGGGTTATATATATATATATGAACCTATATGCATGTTTGGCATGGAGGAATGAGATAAATGATGGGTTATCGATAGAAATGGAACCTTAGGGTCGTTTTTGTTAATTATGGGAAATGCCCTAATTACAATGATAAATTAATTTGTGAAATTAATTTGAGAAATGAAGAATTGAATTGAAAATGTCGAAATTGGAAATGTATGGGAATAAAGGGTGTAGTTGGATTCATTTATTGCTCACCTAGTTGAAATGTTGATAATATATCCATTCGTGCATTTATTTTCTGTTTAGAAATAACTGCTTTGGGCTATCGGTGGAGGATAGTCTTGATTGTTGTAGACAATGTATGATGATTAGGCAAACTAAAACTAATCGATTGAGTAAGCTATTGAATATAGCGATTGGAATAATACATTAACTTTATGTATTGATTGATTGTATATGATCTATGTTTATATACATGTATTGTGTGGGAGAAGATAGGGGATGTACTCCACAGTTTAGGGTAAGATAGGAGGTGGACCTCTAAACCGGATTTTGTGTGACATTGATACAGCACTACAATGTGTATCAAGTGTTGATTATGGAAGTGTTCGAATTGATTTGATATAGTACTAAAATGTATATCGTTATCAATTGTGAAGTATAGAAGTGATTCTATGTTATGTTGATACAGCACCAAAATATGTATCTTTCGTAAAGTGTGGAAGTGGCTTATGAGTTACTAATACAGCGTTAAAATGTGTATCCATCATGAATTTCAAAAGTGTTTTAAAGATGAGTCTTAATCTCATTAAGTTATCTGGTTAGATGTTGAGCCTTGTTTTTCAAAGTCAAAGTTGAAAAAGAAATGGGAAATGAAATGTAACATGGACTTAAGGTCATGAAACTGGAAGGTGATATAAGTGGATGTATTTGTGTTGACCATCTATCAACTGCTAATCTTTTAGTCATTGTTCATAGCTGGTTTAGTGTATTTTTACTGGGCTGTGGCTCACCCTATATGGGACATCATTTTCAGGTACAGGTAGCATGCCACCTCCAAGGACATAGTTTGGGAGGCTAGAGGCAGGCAGACTTTTGTTGTTAGTTATCTTTTAATGTATTGCATGTAATTTCAAGCCAAGGACTTAATGTGTATTTGAGTTAGTACTCTCCTTTTCGTAACCAAGTGGTAACTTGGAAAGCTGTAAGCCCGTAGGGCATTTCTTTTTGTTGTCAACATGTAATACTTTTTTTGTAAAGAATTACTCTGATGAGTAGAATGATATTTATTCCTTGTATCAATGCATGTTTAAATTGATGGGTTTTAATGTTATTATTTTGAGGGCGTTACAACTCGACTCGGTTCGTTTGCAACCCTAACCAAACGATAGTTTGAAAAGTTAATATTTTTGAAGGGTAATGATGGTACTATAAAAGAAAAAGGTCATTTTTCATTATCTCAAAATATTAATTCATTTTAATAAAAAACTAAAATAACATAAATTTCTTATTTGCGCTTCTTTTAAATTCATTAACATTATTTTTGAAGTGTAATAATTGTATCACCAAAGGGCAGTTTTGGAAAGTTAATATTTTTAAGTGTAATGATTGTATTACCAAAAAAAGTTCAATTTTCCAAAAGAGATTAATAGATGGAGGGAATACTAAATATTCACATAGGTATGGGACCCACACTACATGGATCACATGAGTTCGATCTTACATCCATATAAATATTCGGTAAAATATATGACAATTTATTTAGAGTCTCTAGTAGGAATGTAATCGGTTCGGTACGGTCGGTATTTGTGCAAAAAATTACACTGAACCGATAATGTCAGTTTTATTATTTTGAATACCGATACAGACCGTTTCTCCCATCAAACCGCACCGAACCGAGCCGATTGAAACAGTTTGGTTTGGTATGGTTTAATCGGTTTAGGATTTTTCAAACTTGAACTACTTTTAAACATAATCATTAATCTACATAAAAACATTAAATTAATTATTTGTCTACCATTTCAAATATATCCAATCCATCCATTTAATACATACTTTTCAATTCCTAAATTAACAAAAATAAAAACAAAAAAAAATTTAAAAATACTAAGGTTTCAAGAATAATGAGTTAGAGTTAAGATTATATATAATAAGAGTTTACAAACTTAGGTTATAAAGATGATAATGTTAATTAATTAAGGTTAATAATTTATTATACTTATTAATATCATTATATTATTAAATTATATATATATATATATATATTAAATACAATATATGTTGAAACGATCGGTTTCGGTTTAGATTGGTGCATAAGGTGCTTAAACCGATATCGAACCGAAAATCACAAAAATTCAAATTTAAAAATCGCACAGACTGATTCTTGTTAAAAAAAAGACCAAATATAGCCGGTTTAGTCCAGTTTGATCGATTTTTTCAATTTTTCTTACATCCCTAATCTCTAGCATCTTTATTTGTAACTTATATGTGATTTTCAAAATTTTTATTTGTAATCTACTAAAAAATATATTAAGGGTAATGATGATAATGATGAAATCAGTTACCAAATAAAAAAAACTTAATGGCATTAAATGGATAAATCTTATCTCAAAGTAATCCAACATTTGGCAATAACCGTTACATCTAAAATTTATAAAAAAAATTAAAAATTCCAATCTTTAAACCTTATAACAAAATAAATTATAAAATTTTAATTTTATCAATTTAAACTCTAATCTTTTGATTTGTTTTCAATTTTAATTATTTACCTATTTTTATTAAGTAAAATTGATAAAAAAAATATAGTTTAATCATTATACTCAATGTAAGTATACAAAAAAAAGTTTATTATATCCTTTTCCAATTGAGCTTAATAAATAATATATATATATATATATATATTTACTTAACAAGAATAAGATAAATAGATTAGATTAAAAGTAAATCTAAAAATTAAAAAATTTGGATTTCTTTTTGTTATAAGTTTAAACTCTAGACTCTTTTTTGGTAATTTTTTTAAAAATTTTAGAGAAAGGAGGGAAGGGAAATAATGGCAACATCTCTTAACAAATAAAGCACTACTGTGATCCGTGTGAAAGAAATAGAGAGCAAATGCCATTTTCCAGAAAAGCTAAGAAAGAAAGAATCGTAACTGATTTGTGTGTCTCTGTGTGTGTGTCTGTATGCTTCTCTGTTCTACTCTACGCATTCAATTCATTCAACCCCACTTTCCCTATATATGGAACCCTCATCCTCATCGTCTTCGTCATCCCAATCCCAATCTCCAAACCCTCCTCTGCTTCTCCTAGCCATGTCTTCCTCCGCCCTCCTCCACCGCCGCCAGCGCCGCCGCGTTTCCCCTTCAGCCGCCGCCCTCCCTTTCAACTCCTCTGTACCGAAGGTGATCGGCAACGATGATCTTCTGAAGCAGATCCTCGTTCGATTACCGGCGAAGCCTCTGTTTTCTTTCAAGGCCGTGTCGCACAGATGGCTATCTCTGATCTCGGATCCTTACCTGATGCGTGATTGGATTGCTCCGAAATCTCCTTCTGCGTTCTACTACCGAAGGTACAACTGTGTCACTTCACACACTATCAAATTCAATCATGTTTCTCTCAATGTGTTAGAAAAAAAAAAAGAAGAAGCTTCGGTCAACTGTGTCACTTCACACACTATCAAATTCAATCATGTTTCTCTCAATGTGTTAGAAAAAAAAAAAAAGAAGAAGCTTCGGTCATTTAGCTTCATCAATGATCCTGAAGGTGTGTGTAAATCAAAACACAAAACATGCAGCGGAATAAAGTGTTTAGATCATACCTTGTTTGATCTAAAACCTCGTGGATAAATCACGTGCTTCCATACTCAATCAATCAATCCCAGCAGTGGGGTGATATTACAATGGTGAATATCACCCACACAAACCACAGTGCAAAATGACTTTGATCGTTATTTTTGGGAGAGAGTCAGTATCATGGGTAGAAACAAAACATACGTTGTTTCTCTCTTGGTTACCCATAACCATATATCAGATATATATTATATTTATCTCATTTATCCATTGGTTAAATGAGATAATATCTGATATCTATATCATCTATCCATATCATGATATGATAGATATATATCCTGAGTGGCTCATCCAAATAGGTTTGAATTTAAATTCAAAACCCATTTGGATGAGGTTCAAAAGGTTCTAAGGGTCATGCCACATGGGCGCCCAATTTCTAACAGTGTGAAAATCTGTCAGTCCTGTAATGGTTTGTTGCTTTGCTCTTCATCTCGTTACTCTTTGGATTATGTTGATGCTAAATACTATGTTCTGAACCCCACCACAAAGAAGTATTCGATTATTCCTAGGCCGGTTAATGGGGATGAGAGAAACTTTGTTGTTTCTATGACCTTGATTTTTGATCCCTCTGTTTCACCTGACTACAATATACTTGTTGTCCGTGCCAGACAATGGCGCGGGGTTGATTTTTGTGTTGCCTTGTATTCCTCCTCCACTCGAACTTGGGTGTTTTCGGGATTGTCATTTACTTACTTGTCGAGTATAATATTCGAAAATGGTGTCTTCCTTGATGGGAAGATTTATTGGCCTACTTGTCTCTCCGAGATATCAATCTATTATGATTGTATTGGACATAGATTCGTCCCATATCCGATGCCTCATGGTCGACTCACAAAGGAGCTACTGCATTTTGGGGAGTTTGGAGGCCATCTACAATTAGTTGAATTCCATGATGACTGCATTCGTTATTTTCAAGTGTTGGAGTTGAAGGCTGACTGCTCCAAGTGGTTTGTGAAACACCGGATTGATCTTCACTTGGGTGTAGTGGATTTTCCGGAGATGTATACGACTTATAACTACAACATGCTTTGCTTCCTTGGAGGAGACGATGAAGGGGATTCGTGTTTGGTCTTCTACGTACCTGGCAAAGTCATAGCCTATTCCTTCAAGGACAAGATTTTCAAGAAGCTTTGCGATTTGAAGCTGCGCCCTTGTGATTTTGACAGTCTACGACTTTCTCCGTGGTTTGCTGTCCATTCATGCGTGGAGACCATATATAATGTATGACAATTTTTGTTTGCAAAATCATTAGTTTTTGTTTTTTTCATCCCCCCTTCCCCCCTTTCTAGTCTTCTCTTCCATCTAGTTAAGAATGTTTTTCTTTTCTCTTGCTGTAATAGTTTAGACAGTTGTAAATTTATTGCAATGAAATGGTTTTTAAGATCAAGGATGTGTCATTTCTGATATGTTAAATTGATTTTATTTCCTATTCGATAAATTTATATGTCTTTTGCCATGAAATGGATTTGTAACATCAACAATGTGTCATTTCTAATATGATTGATATTACTTCCTGTTGGACCTCGTGAGTTTCTAAGTAAGGATGTAATTCAAAATTTTGGCAAGGTGGTGAAATGTTGCATTTGCAAAGGCTGTTGACCAATCAAGAACCTACGTTATCTTTACTATTGGTGGGTGCCAAAATATTGATGAGTGAATGAAATATATTGAGAAACATATATGGACAACAATCACGAAGAACAAATTAGTTCGGTTTATAAATTTAGTAGTTGGTTTACTGTTGCTCATCAAACTATTAATTTCTTTAATGGTTTTTTTAGACCTTTGACTTCTATTAACGAATGTCAAAGTTTATTAAAAGAAAAAAGTCATATATTTGTTTATCTAATTGTTCATTATTTTAGCAACTCTCTAATCACAAAGTAATTATCCTATTTCATTTGCAAAGGCTGTTGACCAATCAAGAACATCCGTTATTTTTACTATTGGTGGGTGCCAAAGTATTGATGAGTAAATGAAATATATTAAGAAACATAACTGGACAATAATCACAAATAAAAAATTAGTTTGGTTTGTAGGTTTAGCAGTTGGTTTACCGTTGCTTGTCAAACTATTGAGAAACATATTTGAACAATAATCACGAAGAACAAATTAGTTCGGTTTGTAAGTTTAATAGTTGGTTTACCATTGCTCGCCAAACTATTGATAACTTCTTTAATGGTTTTTTCAGACCTTTGCCTTCTATTAATGAATATCAAAGGTTTATTAAAAGAAAAAAAGTCATATCTAACTGTTCATTATTTTAGCAACTCTCTAATCACAAAGTAATTCTCCTATTTCATTTGTAAAGGCTGTTGACCAACGAAGAACCTATGTATTTTTACTATTGGTGGGTGCCAAAATATTGATGAGTGAATGAAATATATTGAGAAACATAAGTGGACAATAATCACAAAGAAAAAATTAGTTCGGTTTTTAGGTTTGGTAGTTGGCTTACCGTTGCTCGTCAAACTATTGAGAAACATATCTGGACAATAATCACGAAGAACAAATTAGTTTGGTTTGTAGGTTTGATAGTTAATTTACCATTACTCGTCAAACTATTAATGATTTTTTTAATGGGTTTTTCAAACCTTTGACTTCTATTAATTTGATTATCTAATTGTTCAATATTTTAGCAACTCTCTAATCACAAAGTAATTCGCCATCCTTTTCTTCTCTTATTGTACTATAAAATTCATTATTATTGGTTTGAAATTTGGATTTGATCCTTTCAGACCACCACAATTCACAACTTTTGGATTTCTTGCAAGGACAGATATATTCCTCTTGAAGGGTCTCACAATAAAAATGTAGAAATGATGTCATTTTAACATAAGATCCGCTAGTATATATTCATCGTGAATATTGGTTGAATTTGATTATTCTGTTCTCGTTTTTGAGATAAGAAGCTTTTAATAGTATCAATATCCTGCAAATCTGGGGCAGCAAATCATTGACACACTTTCCTTTTTTCTTGGCTAAGAATCTCAATCACATACTTCATTTGTACACTTGACAAAGCAACAAAAATCTTCTCTTCATTTCTTTTATTTTCATACTCATGATGGAGCAACTGAATTTTTTAACTGTTTGGGTGCTCAAAGCTCCCTTGTGCTCTCTTGGTGACAAATTTGCTGTACTTTTTTTTCTTTGTTTTTGGTTGGCAACGCAAAAGGAGACTTGAGCCCCTAGCATCTAGCTTGACAAAGTATGGGATTCCGCTTGGCCTATAAGGCCAGTGGTCTGCTGTAATATATTTGAATCCCAATCTATGTACCTTTTCTCTCCATTCCGCGATCTCTCTTTCCTTGCTATTTTGTTTTGTTTTGTTTTGTTTTTTTTCTCTCTCAAGAACATGGTTTTATTGTTGGTTCCAAATTTAAAATTGATTCCGTTTTCACTTCCTTCCAATCTTTATTCTTGTGACATGTCATATTTCTAATCAGCCAAGTCTATGGGTTTGTTTATTTATTTATTTATCTTTTAAAAAACCTGCGGAATGAAAATACGTAGAAAGTTTAAAATGAAAAGTTTAAAGAGGGCTAGACCCTCTCATACACAGCTCCGACCATATCGGCGGCCTAAGAGAGTCTGGGGGGTTCTTCATAGACTACCAGTTCCTCTCTTTGCTCTGCTCCTATATGGGCAAGTTCATCAGCGTATTATTCACTTCACGGTAGACAAGTGTGCTGAAGCATTCTGTGCGTTGGAGCAGGACTTTTACATCCTAGACAAGGAGAAATTTTTTATGCTAATAGGGTATCACGTAACACTACCTTCTACTAATCTCAAATGCATATGCTCACTATTATTTCTCAAACACTTAACATAAATGTAGTAAATCTTACTGATAAGAGCTCTGAAGGGGTAGTTCTGAAGTTGATTTTCGTGGGCTGAGCATTTACCACCGGTCAATAAATTAACTTTAAAAAAATCTAATTCCTCTTATGCATGTTTAATAAGATTTTATTTAGATTTAGATCAATCTATTAAGATCTAATTTATTGACACATTTTTGATTAAAAGTTAAAATTGATCTAAATAAAAATATAAAGACCAAAATTGATATCTATTTTCTTATTTAAAATGTGAACAAATTTATTTAAACAGATCAATAAATTTTTTTGTACACAACTACCCATACTTCACTTCATTACTCCACCTGTTTTTATATTATGAAACAAAAGAAATAATGAAACACGGCAAAGAGGCAGAATCTGTAGAGCAAAATTTGTAGAGCAACTAGGGTTAGAGACAAAGAGGCAAAACAGAACAGTTCGAGAGAGACAGAGAGAGATATGGGCAGTTCGGACAAGGGAACAGTTGTGGTTGATTGCAGTGTTGGAACAATTGTCTGGGTTCGGTGACGGAATGGGTCGTGGTGGCCTGGTTAGATTCTCGGTCGTGAGGGGCTCTCAGCTGCTCATCTCAAGTCTCCGCTATCTGGGACTCCAGTCAAGCTTCTTGGAAGGGAAGATGCCAGCGTGTAATTCTGTTTATTCCCTCTCTCTCCCTCTCTGTGTGTGCGTGGGTGTGTATACATGATATATGCATATTACACTTGAATCTTGTGATTACATTTTTTTAGCCATGTTCATTTGCTCATTGCTGCAAATTGACTGTGGTTTGTGAATTGTTCGGTTTTTGTTTAAACTTTGCATGATCAGCTGTTGTGATCAATGGGTTCATCAATAGCAGGAAGGGTGCCCTTTTTTTTTTTTTTTTGGATAAATAGCAGGAAGGGTGCCTTTTCAGTATGAATCTGCAAATTGTCTTGAGTAGAGTTGTTATATAATTAGGCTATGAATATTTTATGCCCATTCTTTCTCATTGTAATGGTTTGATGCTTCAAATCTTCTTTTCATTTCATAACAATTAAAATAAACAATGCTCTCTTGGGTTATTAGATTGAAGGTGTGGCTTGATAGCTTATAGGTAGGCAAAGATTGGTCACCAGCTCTGTAGAAAATAGTTTGGGATATAGACATCTTAGTTATTAGGCCCTTATTGGTGCAACTGGAAGGGGCTAAGACAAGTCCAAAAGCTAATTGACTGAACTCAATGATAAATATACTTTGTGCACCCCCCTGCTGCATGTTTTGTCCTCCAGGCTTAGGGCAAGTTATTTGAACTGTTCTTGTCAACTTGAGTTCTGATATTGTTCTGTCAAACAAATTATACTAAGCTCTGTAGACATCAAATTCCAGAAGGTTGAAGAAAGAACAAGAAGAAAAGGAACAAAAGAGAAAGGAAAAAGCAGAAGCACATCTTTATACTATCATAAAGGTTACAACTTTTTAAACTCTCTCCCCAAAAGTTGTTACTTATTGAAAAATATATGCATCTATTCTTTGTGGATCATTGTTTTCTAAATCAGTTATTTGCTGCCTCAGGTTGCTCGTGATGAGGACCTTCTTGAACAGATTGGAAGGGATATATATTTTGATCTTGTGGATCATGAGAAGGTTCGAAGTTTTTGTATTCAGAAACAAATGCCTTTCAACCTTTTCAAGGTATTATCTATCATTTTGTCATCATTTGAATTTGGTTAGGTTTTGATTATGATCATGTATCTTTCTCTTGATATATGCGGACTTTGTAATTTACAAATTTGAAGGTTTGTATCTGAAAAAATAAATGAAAAGATTTTGTTTGTTGGTGGGATTTGTTCCATCCTTCTTTCCTTTATGAAAAACAAAATGCAATGGATTTAGTTTTGTGAGTTTGCTGGGCCTTTTGACCTTTGTGTTTTTTTTAGGTCTTACTTCTTCTTTCTTCGTGTTTTTTTATTTTTTTTATTTTTTAATGGGTTTTTTTTTTTTTTGGGTTTTAATTTTAGAGATCTAATAACTTGTTTATTAATTTTGAATGTTGTGCATGAATTTCTTCATTACAAATTGTGTAGCCACTCATCATTTGTCTTAAACTAGATTCTATCATATAATCTTGATTATTAGATTGTTTCATGGCATGTTTTCACTGCGGCATTATTCATAGGGAATAGATTACTCTTTTCATTCGGAAGGCATTCTTATTGCTTGTTCTTTCGTCTTCAGGCCAGCTCAGATGATATAGACTTATCTTCTTATTTTGTTCCTCTTCTAGTTTCGTTAGTGCTTTTGTTTCTTATTTTAACTTCCATTGCCACTCATCAATTGCAGAATTCCAATCTTGGCTTTGCTCATTTTATCTACATTGTTTTTGACTACCTATTAAGCATCGCTGGTCCCACGGATGTCTTGTTTTATTGTACCTCTTTATTTATATTCTTTGACCAAACTACATGTTGGAAGCACTTCTCCAGCTCCAGCAGTTCTACATTTTTTGGGTTAATTTGAGGTCCTATTACTTCTCTCTTCACATCCCAGGTTGATTCATAATAATGCAGAATGGTGACTTTATGTGTGTCTCTCTTGCTATCAATTTTTGCTTCGTTCTTATTTCTACTCTTACATTATCTAAAGTAGTATTGCATCAGCTTTCTTTTCTTTCTTCCTTGCTCTTTTCCAGTACACATATTGCTTGTGTTGTAATAATTTCAATATAGTTTTCCATTCCTTCTATAAAATTTTAATTTTCCATGTTCTTTTTCAACTTTTAACATTCAAGTCTTTTTCAAAAAAAATTGAAACAAGAATTATTTAGATGATCCCAAATAATGGGGACAAGGCTTTGTTGAGTTGAAGATCAGTCCTTTTTTACTTTTGATAGGCATTTGCTAATTTTTTGAAAATTTTTGGAGCAAAAAATTTGAGAATCTATCCTATGAGTTTTATGATAAAATAGTCCGGTAATAATGAATCTGTAAGTAAAGTGAGTCTAGTTTTATGCATGTACAAGCCAACATTTTTGGCTTGAATTATAACTCAACCCTTATTTTTTTCATGGCTTCTATATGTGAGTAATGAATGATGCTTTCATTAAAATAAAAAGAACACTAACAAAAGTTGCTTTGTTGTATCTTTTACGTCTAGTAATTAGTTGATTGTTATTTTTCACGATTACATTTGATTTATATTTTTGAGTTTAGGAGATCATGATATTGATAATGGGCATGGTTTTGATTGTTGTTGATTGGTGCCTTTGGTTGTGATTGATTTTTTAAGCTATTGTTTGATATGGTCTAATGACTTACGGTTGTTACATTTATATAATTTGTTGTAGTGTGGTGAACCAATTAAGTGATTAAATCATGTGGCTTGCTTATCTACTAGAGAAATGCATATCACTTTCAGTTGTGATCATTTTTACTCTGACACTTTGTACTAGTTTATTTTTTAAATATTATTTATTAATTGTAAATATATAATTATTTAAGTAGTTAAATCTTGATTTACAGGTGGGAGATATAGTTCTAAAAAGTATCATCAGGCCAACATAAACAGTTGCAATTGGAGTATTTAAAAGCACAAACCCATCTAAAGAAGTAGAAGGGGCAGAACTAGAACCTGATTATTGGGAGGTAGATGTTCAAGTGCCAGTTAAACCTAATGAGAGCTTGATCTGATCATATGGACTTCTCAAAACAAATGGACAAGCTATTGGAGTACATGTTGCTTGGCCTGCTTTATTTTAGGTATATTTCTTTCGTAAATACTAATTTCATTAACAAATTTATATTAATTTAATATAGTTTCAATTATCTTGATATGTTTATCTTTTGGATGCAGATTTCACAAGTTATGGATGCTAGCCGAGAACATCTATACAAGTGAGGTTGAGAATTTGGGAACTGAATTTGTTTTGATAATTTGTCTCTCCGGAAGATGGATATCACTACGACTTTTCAGAACTTATGGCTGAAATAATTTTCTTTTAATTTTTTTTTTGCTTTAACTTTGTTAGTGTGGTAGAATATTTTATAAATTTGATTATGATTTTTATTGCAATATAAATAAATTTATATTTTTAGATAAAAAAAATGATTGTGGTTTGAATTTTTTTTTTGTTTTTTTTGTTTTTGATGTGTTGATCCTATGAGGGTAATATTTGTTTATTATTGTGAAAATATTATAGGATGAATGAATGTTAAATTAATATAGTATGTGACAATTAATATTCAATTGATGTTAAAATTGATTCAATTTTTACAGGCATTTATGCATGCTTAGTTGTGACTTTTAAAAGTGTCAATGAACAGAACATATAAGTGGTAATTTGTAGTGGTGATAGTAACTTTGCAAAGTGTCACTACAATAAGTTTCAATGGCACTTATATCCATTTAAAGGTACAAATGAATTGGATTTAGTGGCATTTATGACGTTAAAAATATCAATTGTGGCATAACAAGCATCATTAAAAATTCATATAGTGGCATTTTTTAGATTGCAGATCTTCTTGTATAGCACTTGATAGCATCACGAATAGTGTCTACCATGACATGAAAGTGTCACTAAAAGTGTCATTGAAGTGCTACTAAGTCTTTTTTTAATGGTGCTTGTTATGTCACAAATAGTATCTATCATGACATCAAAATATCATTGAAAGTTTTTAGCCATGATGGTGTAGTGGCGCTTGCAAGTGTCACTGATGTGCCACTAGTATTTACCGTGGCACGGGTATAAATGGCACTCGTTTAAAATACCACAAGATTAAAAAATGTCATTAGAAGAATAGTTTTGTGACACTTTCAAATGTCCCTAAACTAAAAAAATGTTATAGTGTGAATTGTTTATACCAATGTCTAGTAAAACATAAAATATGAATAGAATTGTATTAACATGAACAATAATCGTTCTACTACCATCCTGAACCTAAAATGCAATTTCAACAACATTTGGAGCATGTATTCTTTTGCTCCATTAAATTTTCAATTTAAGTCTTTTTTAGCATCACTTTTGGTACCGTCCAAACCTAGTAAGTTTATTTTTGCAAGAGGTCATCATTTTATCTATTTTTTTGCAAGAGGTCATCATTTTATCTATTTAAAATTAATTTACGTAATCTAAAACACTGTCCCCTTGTGCTTGAGTCATTTATATACCCTTATTATCCCTAAATGCTTTTCCATTCAAAAGAATATAACTTGACCTAGACATTTATTAGGTGACCTTGACCTTGTGCGCTTAAATGAATGACTATTAGGTTTACATCGACATATTACTACATGGCCTTGGGGGCTTAGTTATTGGTTAGCGATGTGAAATAGCATCTTGCCATTGTATATATAGTTCTCTTCTTTTTTGTCTCAATTTTCCTTCTATTCTTTTATTTTTTGTTATATATATATATATATTATTTTTAAGCCAGCATAGTTAATATCTTAGTTATGATTATAGATTGACTTTCTTTCCTTGACAAGAACTTTGTGTTGTCCAAATTGTGTAAATCAAACAAGATAAATAAATTCATGATTAATTAATTATTTTACAGAATGAGAAAACATGCTGAATATTACAACCATATGAAATACATAATATGATAAATGGTAAAAAAAGCAAACCGAAACCTATGTGATACCACACTATCTTTAAAACAGATTAGCCACCTCATCGTGGGTGCTGGAGGTACGTCGACTTCTGTCTCCCAAGATACGGCGATTTAGACTGGCTAACGCAGAAGCATATTCCGTTAGCTTTGGCGAATCGACAATGGCAGCACTCTCTTACACAGGAAGAATAAAAATTCTAGAGGAAAACTTTGAACACAAAGGAAGAGCAAACTTTCTGGTGTGGAAGAATGAAGGAGAGAGTCTCATTTTATACACATGGAGAAAGAGAGGAAAAGACTCTTGCAACAAATGCAGGTTCTAATTTTGCAAAATTCCCAAGACATAAATTGCAAAATTGATGGCTTTAATCCATTATGTATACAAAGGAGTTACCAGACTTTATATACATGTGTATTGTGTATAATCCTGCAGGCACCTTTTCTAACACCTCTTTCATGAGGCCAACTTAATGAGTCAATTTCTCATTCAAATCTTAATGATTTTTAGTCATTCTTTTTGTGGTGTAAGATCTTGTTATAAATAATCTAAATCTATTTAATCTCACCTCAACCAATAGTTGGGACCTACTTTAATTTCACATTAAAGTCACCATAAAATCATTTTTTTTCCACAATCCCCCATATGAATAAAAATTGACTGAATAAAGAAAAATGGGCAACGTTTACACCAAAAACTTGGAGAGAGAGCACACAGACTAACCCTGCATCAGAAAAGGTAGTTGTTGGCCTTGAACCTTTCGTAGTGAAAGCCTATAAGATTTACTAGTTGACCAGTGAACATGATGTCATGAACTATTCTTCCGTTTGTGTAAACCGAGACAATAGACCTCACACAGGAGTTAATCTAACTATTGTTCTTGTTCTCACTTGTGTGTCCGGTATGGCCTTGGAACACTAGCCTGGTTCAGTGAGTGTATTTTAAGAATTTGGCCTTACTGATTCTTAAAGAATCGGCCCCACTTCACACTCACATAGGTGAGCTATATAAGGTATCTCATTATACCACGGTTGATTATTCATATCATTTAGGTCATTAAAAGCATTAGTTTAACCTTCCACCCCTACAGGGTATCATTGTGCAAATGAATGGACAATAGGATTTACCTCTTCAATGACTCACCCGTTACACGAAATTAGGTTGTCCTTTTGAATCCAGTCAATTAGGTTGGATTTTCCATTCCGGTAACATTATTAAAGGCCTTAACCCCATTCCTCTTGACGACGTCTCTACTACCTCTCGAGTTAACATTTTGGTTAGTGGATCCACAATGTTGTCCTTAGACTTTACATAGTCTAGAGAAACAACTCCATTAGAGAGTAGTTGTCGTATGGAATTATGTCTACGACGGATATGTCTAGACTTTCCATTATACATATGACTCTGTACCCATCTAATCGTTGATTAGCTATCACAATGAATACAGATAGCAGACGCAGGCCTTGGCCAACGTGGAATATCCTGAACGAACTGGCGAAGCCATTTAGCTTCGTCAGTTGCTTAATAAACTTAGATTCCATCGTTGCTCTTGATATACACGTTTGCTTGGAAGATTTCCAAGACACGACTACCACTCCGAGGGTAAACATATAACCACTAGTGAATTGGAGTCCTTTATATCAGATGTCCAATTAGCGTCATTATACCCTTCTAGTATCACTGGGTATCTGGTATAATGCATCCCATAATCCCGGGTGTAGTGTAGATAACCTAACACCCGCATAATGTCCCTCTAATGAGTAGCATTCGGATTACTCGTGTATCTACTAAGCCTGCTAACAGAGTAAACTATATCCAGCCTTGTACAATTCATCAGATACATCAAACTTTCAATGACCCGAGAATATTCTAGCTGAGAGACACTCTCACCATTATTCTTGGTCAAATGTCGACTCACGCCTACCGATGTCCTAGACACATTTACCAAATTTCTCAAGTATCTTCTCAACATAGTGAGACTGAGAAAGTACAATACCACTAGATGTTCTGGTAATCTTAATACCCAGAATGATATCTGCAAGGCTCATATTTTTCATGTCAAACTTAAAGTTCAATCTCTTGGTAGTTCTAGTCATCTCATCATTACTACCAACAATGAGTATGTCATCAACGTATAAACACAAAATGACGTAACTTTTGTTAGTGTCTTTGACATATACGCATTTGTCACACTCATTAATTTTGAACCCATTTGACAACATAGCATTGTCAAACTTCTCGTGCCATTGCTTGGGGCAATGATTTGACAAGCTTACAGACTTTCTTATTTTGTCCTGGAGCTGAAAACCCTTCAGGTTGCTCCATGTAAATTTCTTCATTCAAATCTCCATTTAAGAAAATTGTCTTTACATCCATCCGATGTATCTCCAGACCACGTAAAGATGCTATCGCAATCACCATGGAATGGATGTAATCCTTGTCACAGGTGAATACGCATCAAAGTAATCTTGGCCATCTCACTGCCTGTATCCTTTGATAACGCTTTATACTCATCATTGATCCATCTGCTTTCATCTTTCTTCTAAAGATCCACTTACTTCCCAAGGCCTTACTGCTTGGGGGTAGATCAACCAACTCCTAAGTATGGTTCTGTAAGACGGAGTCAATCTCATTCTTAATTGCTTCTTTCCACAAAGGATTTTCAGATGAAGTCATAGCTTCATGGAAAGTTCGAGGTTCTCCCTTTAACATATAAGTCAAGAAGTCCGAACCAAAGGACTTTACGGTCCTAGCCCTTTTACTCTTTCTTGGCTTATCTACTTCTTTAACTTGATCATCTATGTGATCATTGTCACCTTCAACCTTTTTCATGGAACTTAGAACCCCTTCTTAGATATGACAAAGAAATATATTTTCAAAGAAAGATGCATAGATTCCATGATAGTATTGTTGTGTATATCTAGGATAGAAGACTTAAAACACAAGAAATCAATATGCACTGCTATATTGTGCATTACCGTTGAATACAAAGTCAACGAATTTTTAGGCTTACTCTAATCCTCTTAGGTTTAGGTATTACCACCTTTTGGCATGACACCCCCACATTTATAGAATTTATACATAGGCTTTTGGCTTTTTTCAAAAATTCATATAGGGTCTTTAAACAATTCCTTGTGTCATAATGATTATGAAACTCTCAAAATCATATCACATTAAATACATTCCTAGAATATCATCAACCAAATTAGGCACCCAAACATATTTGGTCCAACCTATCACTCTGAAGCCAATAGTCTTACTATTAGCAGACACAAATCTAGTGTTCAATAGTCTACTATTCGGAATTTCATAACATGGCCAATAGTCTTATCACTAGGAATCACTATTTTTTCAGCATGTGGTCAGTAGACTTTCTACTACTAGGAATCACAATGTTTTAACATGTGATCAGTAGTCACTTTACTACTAGGAATCACAATGTCCTGACATAGGATCAATAGACTCTTTCATTACTAGGAATCATCATGTCTTGA